ATAACTTTTACACTAATTTTAGAAGTTTAGAGAAGGTATACAGGATTTATACAGTACTTAATTCATAGTTATTTAATAAGTAGCATGTTACGAAAATTGTTGACCCAGCAGTGAAAAGAACTACTAACATAGATAAAATGAGTTTGATTGGATTAGAAATATAGGATAAAAAACTCGTTCCTTAATATATAAAAAGCAGGCAGGATCGGCCTGTATATGGCATTGTATAACGGATTTCATGTAAGGGCAAGTAGACGGGTCAGGCAGGACTGGCCTGTATGTGGTCTTGAGTAAAAGATTCGAAACGGGAATCATTCAAGGCAGAATTCACAACCGGATGAAACCATTCATGTCCAAGTGGCGAATTGAAAACCAGTCTCGAGGCGATAGGAGCCCAAACGTTATCGATTACAGTAGATGTGCTAACTCATGGAATGTCAACCAAGATTCCGAAATGCGTTCTATTTTCGGAAAGATAACTTAAGTAGTGTTGTAAAACTAATCATGATGCAGCATAAATCTATAATGATCCAGTTACCTCAGGGTGTCGGCTTTCGAAAGAACTTATTTTCGGCTGCATGAAAGATCCATACTCTGCAAAAAATGACTACTTAAGTAGCATGCAATTTTCTCATTGATTTTCGGTGCCCTTGAAAATTCAATCATATTTCATGGAAAATATGCATAAAAATATTCATTCTTTTACTTATTCGGTAGAAAATCACGTCTTCTTCCAATTTCTTACTCAAAAGAAGAGTATAATTCGATTTTTAAAAAGTTTCTAATTGTGAGATTTTTTAGTACCGTTAAATGGCCTGTCATGAAACGTCATGTATCTGCATTTGCGAATGTGGCTTGTAAAGTTAACAATATTACTCAAATCCACTGCTTAAATTTTATGAATCTCATATGGTCTCCTCTTAACACCGTAGAAAAATGCATGGTTTTCCGTACACGGAAACTATACACCTTGTAGTTTTGAAACCCTGAATGCAAGTGTAACAGCAGGTTGGGTTCAAAATTATTTGGGAATTAGGAGAGTTTTTTAAAACCGAATTATGCTTTTCTTTTGAGTATGAAATAGGAAGAAGACGTGATTTTCTACCGAATAAGTAAAAGAATGAATATTTTTATGCATGTTTTCCATGGAATATGATTGAATTTTCAAGGGCATCGAAAATCAATGAGAAAATTGCATGCTACTTAAGTAGTCATTTTCTGCAGAGTATGGATCTTGCATGCAGCCGGGAATAAGTTCTTTCGAAAGCCGACCCCCTGAGATAACTGGATAATTATAGATTTATGTTGCATTATGATTAGTTTTACAACACTACTTAATTTATCTTTTCGAAAGGAGAACGCATTTCGAAATTTTGGTTGACATTTCATGAGTTAGCACATCTACTGTATACTCAGCCGAATGCAGCCGAGGAGGGGGCAAGGGAGACGCGACCAGACTACGAGCATATGGCGAATACAGAAGGCTTCGCCAAGAGCGTTGATAGAGCGTATTCTGTGAGGGCACGATGCCGTCATCAGTCGGTGATACCCAATCTCAAGTTTGGATCAATTAAGATTCGAACCCGGGATTTTTGGTCAAGGAGTTTGACACTCTACTACTGAGCCAGGGGCCCGCTGTCCTTTCGGTTGTGATCGCGAATGTCAATTATGACAGATGGGCGTTCACCGATCAGGTTACGGAAAGTGTTCGTTCCGTTGTACCTTGGGCCTCATACTAGAACCCTTGCAGGCAGCGACTAGTAGAAGAGGGGCCCGTTGTTAATGGTTAGTGCGAAAGAAAGCTGTGAAACTGTGGAGCAGATAAAAGGGAGACATGATGTAAAGCTGCGTAACATTCTCAATCACGTATTTGCCGTTGAGGGTGTCTACTTATTCTGCACTGTTGTGACTTGGGAGTCAGTGTCGCTCTCACCAGACGATTGTGCTTGCTCAGCCGTAATAACGCAATATTTTATACTCTCTTCTCCCTGATAGAAATCGATATCATTTTGTCGAGGATGGAGATAACACTGGAATGCTGTCGTAAACCGCATTAGTCAGTTTACCCTGGCTTCATACAGCTGCAGAAATGACTGGACAATTTGAAAGTGTGGACAAGCAATACCGAAATTATGGCCCTAGTTGTCATTTTGGACAATTCTTATTCAGCGTCAGCTGCATCCTCACCACCTCATGACATAGTTCGCTCCGTAGGAAACTCGAATGCTGTTGATCGTCAGGTCTCCCGACACGAAAACATATCTCTCATACATACCCCCTTACACACTCCAGTAGTAATCATAAGTAAACCAAAGCAAGTGATTAGATCAAAGACGACTCCGAGTACAATTTCAGCCACTCGAGCACTGAAGAAATCCAATTTCCCTAAGATAATCTCCCTTCGAAATCGCCTACTACACCCCAAGCACAACGCATTTAAAACTACTTCTCAGAATTTACATCGAAGCGGTTAACGCGAATATCCCAATACTCCGGCCTAGAAATGATATTTCCACTTAAATCGTAGCAGTGCACCATCCACTCTCAAAAACTTTCCATACACGTTCGTATTCACGGTGGAATCCTGGCACAAATATTCCTACTGGATTATCAAGCTCACCCGACTCTCAGTGTCATCTCGCGCGAATGCAATGCACTGGCCTGCATTTGAATTTCTTGTAGAGTCCGACTTAGTTAGCGTCAGTGATCAGCTTTCCTCCCCCTCATTTTCATGCCCATATCCTACTCCTCTTTGCTCACATTGGACATTTTCGATGCAACATAGTTTTTTGCAGACCCCGACGGGAACATCCGATTCTCATGTCCTGTGGAGAGTCAAATGCTGGATGACGTAGATTTCCTCCCCTAGAAAATAAGAGTTGGTATCCTTAAATTTTCCGTCCTAAATATCAGGTCTTTGCCTCAGACTCTTGTGCTTGTCCATTGTCCAGATATTGTCATATAGGCAACCTCTTTCATAGCCGGCTCCAATCTTTCTCTTCTGGGCTGTGCTTTTATTCGAAATGATCGTCAGGACAGCCGTGGTGGGAGAAGCACTTCCGCCGCTGGACCACCTACATTTCTCCGCCGTAAAAGATAGCCGCTGGCTTCAAATGGCCTTAGAAAACAAGTACTCTTTGCGCATTGTTTGTGTCTATCGTCCAGACAGCACCAGTGAGGGCTTTGATCTTTGCCTCTTTCAGGCATTTCATACGGAGACCGAATTAAACCTTAAGTTGCGGGTGACTTTACTATCCCTGAAATCAGTTGGTTTCCGCCCTCCGGCTGCAGAAAGTTCGAAATCTCACTCGAGACTGTAGATTTCAGCACGTGGGATCAGGTTGTCGATTTTCCACCCAAGGATCAAACATAATTAATAAAATTTCTAATAGAGATAGACCGCTTTTGCAACTCGAATTTGATTAAATTTTGTCCAAAATGCAGTTATTTCTTTAATTTCCGACCAGTTCGTTCGACAGAATTAGTGACACAGCTTAATTCATACGACTGAACTGATCTCATCCTAGGTACGAATGTGTACGTTTCCTCTGATAAACGGTGCGTTTGTAACCGTAAGAAAACAACGGCGGGAATACAGTGTCGCAACACTTAGAATTGTCTATTCCCCCACCAGCCTGTCTTACGGGCGGACTACTACTACTACTACTATTACTACTACTACTACTACTACTACTACTACTACTACTTCTACTACTACTACCACCACTAATACTACTACTACTACTACTACTACTACTACTACTACTACTACCACCACCACCACCACCACTACTACTGCTACTACTACCACTACTACCGCTCTTACTACTAATACTACTACCACTGGCGGGATTACAGTGTCGCAACACTGAAGAAAACTTTTTCCCCGTCTACCACCGCTGATACGGCGAATACTACTAATAATCCTACTATTAGTACTACTACTACCACCGCCACCACGGCTGCCAATGCTACTCTACCAACGCTTACAGTATGGGTAACTAACTGCAATAATACTAGCATCAGTAACGGAGTGTTGCGACACTGGTATCCAACCAAAACAACTAATGTCGCAGACGAGGTTTTCTTTTTTTTCGTCTTCTTGCCGTAAACGGTGTAGACTCTCTAGTAGTAGACTCTCTAGTTGGAAGGGCGACTTTAACGCAATGAGACGCATTCTTTTGGAGGAAACCTGGGTGGTCAACACAGAAGATTCAGACGAATTCTGGCAGTACTTTCGCGGAATTATAGAGCGTCTAATTGATTTCCATTGTCCAATAACAATGACGAGACCGTGGGCGCGACCGCCGTGGGTCAATCCGACGATAAAAAAGATTATGAAGAAGAAACAGAGACCCTGGAAAAAGTATTTGCAACTTCGAAATCCAAGGTCATCTGCTGAATATAAGGATCAGCGCTATATATGCCACAAACAAATACGGGTTGCTAGGACTTCTTTTGAGCACCGACTGATCGCAGAATCCATTACATGTCCCAAGAAGTTTTACGGGTACATCCGCAGTAGGAGGAAACATAGGGACGAAATTGCGTGTCTAAAGGATAGCCTCGGAAACTTATTAGTTGAAGGGCCACAGAAAGTGCGATTACTGTCTCAGTTTTTTCAATCAGTTTTTACAGAGGAGTCCTCAGAAGAAAATCAGCAGTTTGAAATGGACGGAGGCAGCCTGGAGCTTCAAATGCGCCAAGATATTGCCGTCATTGAAACCGTCGCCTTCTCCGTCGAAGAAGTAAGACGCGTCCTCAGTCAAGTGAAACCTGATAAATCTCCTGGGCCCGACGGAATTCTCGAGCTGATACTTAAGGAGCTATCAACGGAGCTGTCAAAGCCTCTTTCGACTCTCTTTAAGCTGTCAATGAGAACAGGAAGGCTGCCCTCACAGTGAAAGACAGCTAATCTCGTTCCATTGCATAAAGGGGGTAACAGGATGACAGCAAGCAGCTTTAGGCCTATTAGCTTAACTTGCCTCCCTTGCAAAGCGATGGAAGCTCTAGTAGAGTATGCTATGCAGCAATTTTGTGAAGAAAATAACATCTTGCAGGATATTCAACATGGCTTCCGGAGAGGACGTTCCCGCCTCTCAAATCTGCTAGCTTGTCTGGACATTTGGATCAGGGCTCTAGAAGAGGGTTTTGAGGTCGATGTCGTATACGTCGACTTCCGCAACGCTTTTGACACTGTCCCGCACCAACGTCTTCTTCACAAATTGAGCGACCTCGGCATCCGGGGAGATCTTCTGAACTGGATTAGGGCGTTTCTGGTTGGTCGGAAACAACGTGTCTGTATCGGGGATGATATGTCAGAATGGGTGAACGTGACCAGTGGTGTGCCGCAAGGCTCAGTTCTGGGACCATTGCTCTTCATCCTATATGTTAACGACAGCCTTCAGGAACTCGACTGCGACAAAGTAATGTTTGCAGACGATATTAAGCTCTGGCAAGTCATTAAGGGACCGAATGATCAGAGATCCCTTCAAGATAATTTGCACCGACTGCAAGCGTGGTCGAAGAAATGGCTTCTAGATTTCAATGTGGAGAAGTGTGCCGTCCTTCATCTGCATCCAACCAACTCTGATTCAAACGAGAGCCTGAGGACTTATCACCTGAAAGATATAAGGCTCCCCGCAGAATCTTCACAAAAAGATCTCGGGGTTTGGATACAGAACAACCTGAAACCAACAGTGCAATGCCACAAAGCTGCAAAAAACGCCATGGGAGTGCTGTATGCAATCAAATGGGCTGTCATAAACTTTGACCAAGACCATTTTGGGAGAGTTTACGGCACTTTTGTTCGGCCCCACCTAGAATATGGCATACAAGCATGGCGGCCATGGCTAGTAAAGGATCAAGCACGCTTCGAATGGGTACAACGGCGTGCAACGAAGCCGGTAAACGGTCTAAAAAGCCAATCCTACACAGACAGACTGAATTGCCTTAATTTATTCACTCTGTGTTACAGGCAGCAAAGAGGTGATCTTATCCTCGTCTACGAGATAATACATGGCCTTGAGTATGGACTTAAATTTGAGGACATGTTTCAGTGGCACCTTTCACCCAATCTTCGTGGTCACTCGATGAAGTTACGGACAACAATGTCCAGGCTGAATCTTCGTTCTGAAATTTTCAGGCAGGGGGTAGTGGAGAAAGGGAACGATCTCCCTCAGTCAGTCGTGGAGGCTACGTCCCTGCAACTCTTGAAGAAACGCTTGAATGATTATTTGTGTCCCCTGTTTTCCCTCGACAGTCTGAATCTGAACTAATACCCCACAACCCCGCAAATATTTTATCTGATACAATGCTACTCAAATGAATCAAGTGCTGTTTTAATAGCGAATATGTTTATTGTTCGTGTACAGTTATTTCTAACGAGCTGACATGTAATCAATAGGGTTTTCAAGGGCATTGCCTATTATCCTTACCAAATAAACTGAAATAAACTGAAAGATCGGCTTCGGACTGGGAGTATAAGGTTACATATACGGGTTTGTATTTGTTTCTTGAGTGAAGTCTTTTGGTGGTGGATATGCGGATATTTAGACCACACGATTGCATAAGTTGCTGAATTTTTGGTACTGGATTAACCGTGTGGGGTATGTTGCGGATAATTAAGTTAAGTCTGCGTTTCGATTTGTCTGCGACTGCTGATGAAAACAAGTGCAAGGTCGATGCTATTTGTAATACGTTTGTTAGGCTGCTTGTTAATGTATTTGAGTCTGACAGCGAGTCCAACATTGTAAAGAAGCGTCCATGTTTCTCGATAAAGTTCTGCAAACGCATGATGCCGGAGAGACCTAGTTCATCAAAAATAAATTTAACATAAGTCATTTTTTATAGGAGGGAGTTTATAGGGATTTACGTGTTATTTCCATAAAGTTGATAAACTTTGTGGACAATTGTCGTAGAAACTTATCAAAGTGTTTGAATAATGACGAATTTTAACTTATCTTGGGTCAGTGGATTTCGAACGTTTGTGCGAATTCGTGCTCCGCCGATGTCACCATAGATACAACGTTTTAAAAAGAACCTTGACATACTTGTGTACCTAAATGACCGACAGCGTGAGAGATCAAGCTAATCCCCTGAGACTCACTCCCATATCATTGTAGGCTTGTTTGGAATATTTCAGCCCAGGTAATTTCTCTGTACATCGCACCCAGGTTTACGTTGCGAATAGGGTACTCAATGTCTCATACCCGTTCCTCTTAATAAATTGAACTGAACTAGACACCTGCTCCCCTCTTCTGTCCTCCTTTTCAGTACCCTCCAGAACTCCATCATTTTGTGTTTTTCTGTTGGCTTACAATTCATATGAAAGAACACCTTCAGATCCAAATTGCGAAGAGTCGCTCTTCCATCTAGGCGTTTACTTAATGTTTGAAAATGATTTTAGGAGAGCTTGTTTGTGACAGTCCAAGCGATGAATCTGTATTTCATAGACGGAGAGCTTTGTGCGAGGTAACATATGCTCCATCCTTGAGGATGGCATATGTATGTGCTCGAAAAAGGTCGAGATCGTGTTCGATCTTCTATTCTGTAAAAGAAGAAATGACTCAGGAGCTTCCTTTATGATGTTTCGTTTTGCTACATTATTTGATGCTCTGACTTTTTGATGGAACTTCGACTGATCAGTTCGCTCATTTATAAAACTTATTTGCTGCCACCAACTCTTCATAAAATGGGCAAATTTACCTCGGTGCTTGTCGGTAACTGATATCGCTCTAATTTCTCAGTCGCATGCTTTTGCTTAAACTGACTACTATTCCACACATTTTCTAACTGACATACCTTGGAGAACACTACTAACTCTTGGAAAAGGTGTTTGATTTTTTATTGCTCGTTCTTTTGAAGTTCTGTTTCCTTAACAATTTGACATACCTCTTTTACTTGTGAATGACAGAGAGTTCAAATTTTCAAGCCTAAAGTTCGCTCAAATAAACTGTTTTGTAACGTACTGCTGTCTTAGCGGTAACTACGATTTGGTCTGTCTCTTGAGCCTTTCCATAACGTCCCTCGTTAGTCATTTCTTATTTTAAACATTTGTTCTTCTGGTTCTAAGGTAGGTGATCGTGATCATATTTTTTGGAAGCTCCGGTTGTATCATTAGCACGTTTTCTTTGAATTTTCTCAATTCCAAAAAGGCGTTACCGATTATTTGCAGCGTCGGCGATACGAATAATCGGGCCACCTGATAGCATTAAGGCTCTCAGGACTAAGCATTCGCTAGCCCGTATGATTTGCGAGCCAGTAATCTAATTGATTGACGGTACTCGGCCTGTGCGAGAAGAGGAGCCTTTTTTCTACACCCCGTCGTCGATGCCCACCCGAGTGCACTTTACCGTCCTATTAATTCAATTTGAAAGGGACACTTGGCGTTCCAAACAAAACACGATGAAGCCAAGTCGCGTGGCGGAACTTAATAAAAGTAGAAGTGAAATCGAGAAATGCACATCCGTGCCCACAGCGACCTTTATCTTAAATAGCGTTTCGCTGACAACGCTGAGCGTTTGCGGCATTCCTATCTTCGGCGTTGTCAGTGCTACACGGGTCTCCCATATTTTAACGAGAATTATGCGCAATTCATTGGGCCTCTACGACAGTGATTGTCTACACCCCCTCTGCCCGATGCACTCGGATAAGTTGGATTGAAACTAAGGGCATTTTTCGCTAGTCATTCTTCTTCTTGCCCTCTCAAAATTCTGGCTTATTACTGTAGAACGATATACAGCATAGTGTTATTACATAAGTGTCATTCTGACGGGCGATCGTTGCTGCCTACCATCTGACGACCGGTCAATTCACCATCAAAACGTGTGCATGAAATGAGTCATTCTTCTCGTCACTCACACGGATCTTGATCCTTGTTTTACTGTGGGAGTTTCGCCGCAATCGAAATAATCTTATTAGCACGTCATACCGGGCCACACGCGGTGTCGATGAACGGAAGGGCAAACCAAAGTAACATGTGGATGGGCTGTTCATGAGTATCAGTAACGGCCTTCGATGGTTCGGCGAAGCGAGAAGTGTGGATCAACACATCCTCGCCCCGAACAAAAACCGCACTTACTATTCCTCCTAGGCTCCTTGTAATGCACACGAAGTGATTGGGAAGGACGACTGCAAAAACTTAGGCGGCACCGTTTTTTGGACGACGATTTGTCTCCCTTCTTGAAGGTCGTTACAGCCACGGCGTCATCCCAGCGTATGTGTACCGTCTCTGTATCGCAACTTTGGCTCGAAAGACTTTGTGGCCGGCTGGTAATCACTTCTGAACCAGACGTAGTTTTCCTCCGGAAGACAGTCCTATCCAGGTGCTTTGCTGTTATTCACCATTGATGTCGTCTCAGGGATGTAGGTAGATGCTGGGCATCGGGCACGGAGTTAGACTCAGATACCGGGATGGCAGCTGATGAGGTCATGACAACGCGTTCAGTAGTTTGGTAACGTGCCCCTCCCTTCTGGCTGGTATGTTCGACATGCATGCCGTCACCGAATCTTGCTTCTCCCTGTTTATTTGACCAGCAAACCTATTGAGTCGGCTCACATTCAAGATTTCGATGTCTCCTGGCCTCATTTTTGGCCAAAAGGCGTTGACCTTTTCAGATTTCACTGCAGTCGTGTCATCCAGGGCACATAGTGTTACGGCGCAGGCCTCTAAATTTCGAACCGGCCTGGAAGTGAACAGCCATTGTACCACCTACCAACCGGTTTTTTTTCCAGCTCTCCAATTATTACGCCTAGGTCTGCGGTGACCCAGGGCCTCCTAATAAGTATTTTGGACAGTTTCCTTCAGTTCGAGCTAGTTTTTTTTCCAACGGAAAGCGCTTCAGAGGCAGCAGCTGTCCATTTTTGCTCTGCAGAGTGACTGGAAACAGTCAGAAAAAACTCATTGCAGTCGCAGGAGCCTCCAGACTTCAAAGATTTTAGTTTTTCGCGGACTCTATAGAAGAGATTTGGATTTGTCCTTTTCTGTGGACGTTGTGGCACCAGTTAAGAAACATGCCTACTTATTTATCATTCAGCTAGTACTACAGTATTGATTTGCAACTGACTGATTTGCAACACTGGCTGGCAGGCTAGGCCACACTTCGTTTCTTGGATCACTAGTGCCCGGGGAAGATCCCACACATGAACTGGCGTGATTCATAAGCAATTTGTAGCTGCATCCTCCTAGTTTGTATAAAATAATGCCCTCTGATTCATCCTGGTGCCAAGCTTTCCTCTGTCACTCGACGTAGCTGTGCTGAGCGTTGCAACCACTCTTCGGTACCCGTCCCGACTGTCAGGCAAAATCCAGTGATGCTAGCTGGCTTATCCTTCCAACGTTGCTGGTTTACATTGCAAAGCCTTGTTCAGTTTTGTTGCGTAGCTAGACGTAGGCATAATGCTGTATCAGTCACGACGCCATATTGCATTCATTTATGACTTAGTCTTACAATCGATGCGTGGTAGGTGTAGAAAGAGTCAGGTCGACACTGCACAAGTTCTTCCCACAATCTGGTTTACGAACAGTCATCGCTGTTTTACGAGACATTTGTCGCGTTCAACAAACTATCGTTTGGAATGTTAGGGACAAAATTCCTCGCGTGAAGATACATGCTACTCTGCGTTTGACATCCATGCCGGAAAATGCACAGGACCAGAAGTCGTTACGAAGCTCTGATCTGCCTGGTTCTCCTCGTTCGAGTGTATTTCATTGGTGTAAAGGCCAAAATTTGCGCACAAATTCAAGCAAATCTGCTCAATTTACGGGTCTGGAACTGAAGAAGGGTGCGTTTTAGGGTTAAGAACTTTCCAGAAATCCTGTACTCTACTCAGGTTGCCTTACTAAAGTTGTCAGAACTATTTATACCAGGGGCCAGTTAGCCCCGAGCCAGGCTTCCTTAGTGTTTGGTAAAACATAGTGTGGGATGTTGGTGTTTCCACGCTTTTCTGACAAGCATCCAACTGGATTTCAATACAATATTGCTCTCAGAACCATTTATAAAACGCAAGCCGCCGTTTTTTGGAGGTCAGGGAATGAACATCACTCCTTAAGTGCCAGGAGGTGCATCTAAACATAGACTCACAGTGGTATGCCTAGGTTTCGCAAAATCGACTTACCTTGTGGCGCCGTACCTATGGTTACTTTTTTCCTGTGTTTTCTCTGTCCCACGTTTAATCAGCTTAGTTGACCGATTCCAGTCTTTCGGTTAACTACCACGCGTATCTGTTGTACTGATCCTGTGCCGTTCTTCCAAGCGCTTCAGACAACGAAATAGATCTTAAAATGTTCCGTATGCAACACCGAAATAATAACTGAATAAACTGTTTCTCAACTATGTCAGTGAACATTTGTTTTTGTATCTCTGTCTGATGATTTGCACTTATTTCTTTTTCCAGACCACGCCATGGTTGGCGTTTTCCCAGTCTTTAAGCTGGGTATCCTTGCCGCCAAACAAATCAGCCGCCCCATCGTAAACAACCTAAAACGCCGAGCGAAGGACAACGCCTTCTTCCACCGTTATATTTGCACTCCCCCGGGGCATCGTAAGCCAGTCGCTCCATCTCACCCTTCATCATTGCCTATTTTCAGTTTACCATCTTTGGGATACTCGACTAAGACTGAGGTTACTCGGACTGGAAAAGCCCAAAACGGTACAAAAACTGTCCGATGATGCGGCGGCTGAAATTGGCGCTGAAATCCTTGGGGAGTTTATAATGTTTACTATCGGGACTGTTCTGCTTGCTCTGGAATATCGTCGACAGTCAAAGAATGAAGCCGAAAAGGAAAAACGACTGCAAAATCGATTATCCGACCTCCGCTCCTCCATTGATGAGCTAGAGAGACAGTTACAGTTTCATGAAGGGAAACTAGTCGAGATAAATAGACACCTAACACACCGATGATCGTCGCCCACATATTTAGCGCTGTTCTTTGCTTTCTTACCGTATTGTTGGATCCCTTTCCTTCCTGCGTAGCCGCTGTCACAAGGACTGTAAAGTTTCATTTTAGGAATTTCTCTGGTTATCATCTTGCCAGCTTTTATTCAGTGAGAAATTGTGCCTCCTTTTCACAGTCACTCGATTTTTCCTGCTCGCATCTGTTTGTTATTTTCGGGGCCAGAAGTAATCACAGAGGCATGTTGTCTAAAGGTATTCGCACCCATTGTAGTAATAAAGAAATGCGTTGCCGCATTGTCGGACGACAACGTTTTCACGGCTATTTAGCTAGACAGTCTGCGCGGCAATCACTGGCAGGCTTGTGTGCTACTGAGGAGCGTATATATACAGTCAGGGACCAATCTCACTAAGTGTTAACCGAAATCCAGAAACATGTTTTCCGGTTGAGAGAGATTAATTGGTTGGGGTTCTGGTATTGATTATCGTTCAGCAAAATCCCCATACATTTCAGTCACGCCATGATTCACTTTATTTCGGCTGTCTACAAAAAACGCACTCGGTAAAGAGTGGCAACTTAGCTGGCATGAATCATTACTGTTGTTTTGCGGTACCCTTTAAGGTTCATCTATACTGCATTGAAAACATGCATAAAACGATTTATCTGGTAGCACATTATGTCCTCTCTAAATTGTATAGCCGAAGGGAGGGTATATCTACGTTTCAAAAGTTTTAAAATTCCCGAATCCTTTTCAGCCTGATCGGCCGTCATATTTGCCTTTAGAGTTTACATTCAACAAGCTGTATACATTCCATGTAGGGAAAATCACACATTTCTCAACGCAATTTAGACGCTACTGTATTGGGCTCATAACATTTTGCGGTGGATGTAGATTCTGTTGTTTATTTTATAAGCGGCGCTAATAAAAAGACAAATATCATGCTATTAGAATGGACATTTCACAGTTTTAAGTCTCACAAATACTGACTTTAAAACCAAACGATGCCATTTTCTGGCGTATAAAACTTAAGGAAGACGCAATTTGGTGCCAGATAAATGCTAGAAGGGCTATTTTTGACAATGCTTTTTAGAAGATATATTTTGATTTAAGTGTGCCGTAAGCCAATCAGAAAAATGTATACCATTTAAGTAGCTACTTTTCACCGAGTGCGGTTTTCGCAGGTGGCTGGGAAGAGACTTATTGGAAAGCCAGAATTCTGACGTGAACTGAGTATCATGGGATTATGCTGCACTTTGACCGTTTGATCGTCGTGGCTGACGATGTCTGCGTGTGTCCGACAGCGGGGTGGGTGCAGTGGCGGTGGACTTGCGCAGCGTCAGCCGCACCCCCCTCTTCCATTTGGGCCCAATGTCAAGATAGAGTCAAAAAGACCGGAGGCGGAATCGGATGCAGGTGGCTGGCGCGGCGTGAACCTCCGCCCGGGCGTGCCATCACATCCCTGGTCCGCACAAAAGAAACCAAGATTTCGCACAACAAGAAGGGGGAGGGCAGCTCAGATCCCCACTGAGTGGGACTGCCACAAAGGCCACATTAGGAAGCCATTGCAGCCTGACTCTCTGTCCTGAGAGGAGAGCTGTGTTATCCCATCATTTAGCCTCCTTCCAAGCCACGGATTCTAGCCCACCGTGAGAGCCTCAAGCGTGCCAGATCGTTCATAGCCAAGAATATGCGCTGAGACCTCCGTCCTCACTCTCTGTTCCCTTCCCCGTGCACCGTCGACTGTCCAAGCCGGTCAACCAAATGATACTTATATTGAGAGAGGTAGGTGACAGCTGAAAACAGCCCGTCTGAGCACGCGACCTGCCCCCTATGCGACACATCGTGATTTCACAAAGGGGGCGGACCGCTCGGATCCCACATGCAGCAAAGGAGCCACATAGAGCTTCGGAGTTGCGTGCGGTGGTGAGTCTGCTAGTAGTTGCTGTGCCTGTGGATGGGGAGTTAGGGATGCCGGAGATGGAGGATTTTTCTGGTGTGCTGGCGTGCCGATATTGCATGGGATTCTTCTCTTGTGGATACGCATGTGGCCAAATAGGCCCATGCGGTGAGTGAATGTGCGTAGGCTGTGTGGACAGTGAGGACGGATACAATAAGTGCACGTCGGGGTTTCCGGCACTGATGCGCCGGTCACAATGCGATGGAATCGCACTGTGACCGACCATGTCGATGCATGAGGGGAATGAGCAACCGCAATGAGGACAGATTAGGATTAAGTCCCAATTGTTAGTGGTAAGGGAGTTGTTGGCGGGGCGTCGGGAGTGTTCGCTTTGGTGGCGGGGGTGGGAGAGGTGGTTGTGGCTGGGATGATAGGTTTGGTGGGATCGACGAAGTCGGTTAGAGCGTCGGGTTATCAGGAATTTGACCACTGATTTTGGGGGTTGGTAGACGCCATAGGAGTTGGTGCACGGGCGACGATGGGAATGTTTGTGGAGCAGCAGATATGGTTGTTAGGTTGTTGTAATGGGTCAAGAGATGCCCGATAAGACCGATTCGCTAGCGGAACGTTCGTCGGCAGCGCGTGCATGTTGGAATGACTTGCCTGTTGACGTTATGGATCGGGACACTTGAGACTTTCGAGCCGCCCTTTTGGCCTTGGCAACAACAATCCGGTTGGCTTCATAGGTTGTTGTTTCGGTTTCCACTGCTCCTCTCCAGGCTGTTCGATTCTGGGCGAGATCTTCCCAGATCTCCGGATTTACTTGCAAGTTCTTGCGAGAGTTGTTCACATTGTCCCTGTAGCACCGTTTTTGTCCTTGTCGGTGAGTCACTCCAGCGAGGTCTCCTAAAAAGAGTCACTTAGACAATCGCTCGTCGTGCATTCTCACGAGGTAGCCGTTTCATCGCAGTTGCAATTACCTCATTATCGCTTAAATGCTGAGGATTCCGGCCCGATCCAAAACTTCCGTTTCCACCATTCTGTCCTGTCACCTCAACTTTAGGATTCTCCGGAGACAGCTGAGGTGGGCGCGATCGTTGTTTCTGTCTTGATTGGCGTATACGGCCCAGGTCTCCGCTCCATGCAGGAACGTCAAAGTGAAAGTTTTGTGCATAGCGAGTGAAGCGTTTTTGTGGGAATCATATCGATTTCACTCAGTCGTGCGGCCAACCGAAAATTTAGCTGACTTTAGAGATCCGGCGGACGAATTCGTTGATTTTAATGCTACGCGAGAGTTCGCAGCCTAAATAAGTGAAATTGTCCATGGTTTTGATTTGTATGCCGTTGACCTTGCTGCTAGGGAGCAGTGTATTTAGTGTCGGGCGACGGATGATGTATGACCGCCGTTTGCTTGTGCTGATGCTCAGCCCGAAGTTGGCGCAGCTGGCGATAAAAAGGTCCGTGCTTGACTGCACATCCACTTCTGTCGCGGTGTTGAGGGCACAGTCGTTCACGAAGAACTGATTGTGGATAGATGCGTCCGGGTCTGCATGCACCAGCTACTGAAAAGATAGCTGGCGATCTTCCAGACGACCAGGGCAACCAAATTTATGCATGTTTTTTCAAAGTCCACCACCATTCACCGTGTCCATGGCTTTTGTCAGGTCGATGGAGGTAGTGTGGGCTTTGTGTAGTGTTATTTTCAGTGAACAGGCCGCTGGTGTTTGCGTTATCTTTAAACCAGCCCTGGTGCCGAAGAATTGCACGTCCAAGGACGTCTAGAGTGGAGAAGTGGACTATGTTCCGAAGTTAGTACCAACACGTCGTCACGGTGTCGTTACCCCCCGGAGCCTGCAGGTCCTTCGGTCGTTGGAGCAATCGATTGTTGAAATCAAAGAGGTGATCGAGCAAATTTGAGAGAATATTATTTAGCTTACCTGGTGGTCGCATACTCTGGGGTCTCCTGCGAGATTGCAGTCAGAGTCTCGAAGATGACGAGCCGGTGGTTCGTCCAGCGGTTGATGTTGCAAATCGCTCTGGTCTTCAGCACGTCCTGTCGATCTCGCCTCTAGACGTGAAAGTAGTCCAGCCGGTGTCAGCGTCGCGGTCGGGAGTGCATCCACGTTGTCTTCCCCCGCGTTGGGGGGCGAAAAAAGGTGCTGGCTGAGAGGGGGCGGTATTCCGCGTAGGTTCGCAGGAGGCCGTTATTGTTACAGCCGACGAGACCATGGGTACCCAGCACTCCCAGTCAGCGTGGCCTGCCCCGAAGCGGGCACTAAAGTCACCAAGGGCAACCAGTTTGTCCGCATTCAACACAACCGCCAGGAAAGCGTACAGGTCTTAGAATTTCATCTTCATCTCCTTGAGTCCGTTTGTTGGGGGAGGGATGTAGACACTGATGATGGTGACGAATTCGGCTTTCCTAAAAAGCAACCGCAAGCTCATCAGGCGGTGGCTGGTGCCCTGAGACAGGCAGGGCAGTCGTCCCACGCTGTCGTTCTGGATAACAAAGGCGATGCCTACGTTGCGGCGCTCTGCCCTTGAGCGGCCGCTCCAGAAGAAGGTGTTGCCGACACCCGCCTCCGGCTGACCCTGTTCAGAGAATCGGATCTCGCTGAAAGCAGCGATGCGCACCTTGTAGCTCGCTAGTTCTCGAGTGAT